TTCATATAAAAGGACTGAAAAACTTCTTGAAGTAACAAGTTTTTTCTGTTAAAAAACTACTTTATATTTTAAAAAATTAAATCATCAGAGCATTACGAAAAAAACAGAAATCGATTCTTTCAAAATTAAAAAAAATGAAATTTTCCAAAAATCTGTGATTCATACGATTTTATATAGAATATTAGCTTTTAACACTTGTCACATATTCTTTTATATGTTTCTTTTTTGTAATTTTGTTACTGACGAATAAAATTAATAAATACATTATTCAGATACATCTCAATTAATAAAGCCTTAAATAAGTTCTAGTAATACGTAAATTCCTCCAATCATTATCGAATCTTTTTTAAGGTGATTAATAATGATAACAATATTCATAGTAACGAGAATTAAAATTATCATAGATTTTAAATAAAAATTTGATGCCTTTTTTGAAATTAAATAGAAACATGAACAGACACCTCTTACGAAAAATGTCATTCAAAAGTAAAAAATTAATGTATTAGAAAGTTTTCTTGTACTTCTTAATGTTTTTGAAAACTTTATTGTCATATTAAATAATTTAACTTTTCATAAAAGATGTAAATACGTTTCGCTAAAAATTTTAAACTAGTAGCTAGTTGATCAATTTTCTGATATTCGTTCTGATCATGTATCATTGAGGTTCTTCCCCAATAGTTTGAAATCTTAAACAGAATCTGTTATCGGATCTCGCTAAAACACCGTATCATTTGGAATACAGGCCTATATTATTTTAAATAACTTTTACTTCGTACGCTTTAATTTAATTTTACTTAGAAAAAAAAATTTTATAAATAATACAAAATAGTCTAGGTTTAACTCTGTTATTGACTCAAAAAGGGCTTAAAATCAAAACTAATTTTATTCAATTATTGATTAAGATTTTTATCTTCTTTTCATGGCGGTTTTTAAAATTATTAAAAATGTTTATTTTTCACTGAGATATAGTCAATTCCTTAAGGGGAGTCATACACCAATTTACCCTCTTTGTCATTTTTGTGATATAAACCACAGTTTTATGTCCATCTACATTTTCTGCGTAAAATTGACATCTTTGAGCCCTAAAAAATGTGAAAAAATTGCAGAATAGGCCTTTGCATCTAAACGAAGTTCATTTTTGCTATTTTAGCCTTTTGGCACTGTGCGCAAGGTTCAGATCAGAGTTTTCGGGTTGGAAGATCCTGATAGGTCTCAAAATCTTTAGAAAAGTATCCTTTATGGGCTGAGTTTTGTGGAATTTTGATTAGAGTTATAAAAAAGTTTGTATGCCAAAAGATGTGAAAAAAGCAAGATATAAAAAAAGTTTTCAATGTTTTTGAGAACACATTGAATAATAGAACTGATATGGAGGCCTAAATCAAAATTCCACAAAACTCAGTCCATAAAGGATACTTTTCTGAAGATTTTGAGACTTATCAGGATCTTCCAACCCAAAAACTTTGATCTGAACCTTGCGCACAGTGCCAAGAGGCTAAAATAGCAAAAATGAACTTCGTTTAGATGCAAAGGCCTATTCTGCAATTTTTTCACATTTTTTAGGGCTCAAAGATGTCAATTTTACGCAGAAAATGTAGATGGACATAAAACTGTGGTTTATATCACAAAAATGACAAAGAGGGTAAATTGGTGTATGACTCCCCTTAAGCTTTTTACGTGTGATTCACGAAAAAAGCTCAGGGAAATAGCTGTATCTCAGTAAAAAATAAACATTTTGGAATTTCAAAAAATGCTATCAAAAGAAGAAGAAAAATCTTAACCGAAAATTGAATAATCTTTTTTTGATTTTAAGCTATCTTTGAGCTCTTAAAAATCTTTACTTTGACATGATTTGATACAAATATTAAACTTTGACGTCGAGGTTTTATGTGATTTGATATTAATAATTAAATTTTATATCCAGTTATGTGTTAACTTTTAGTCACGATATACAGATATCTGTCATTTTCATTAATTCGTCATTCCCTTGACCCATCTTTCCTGGAAGGTTTATTTTTGTGCACACGTTCAATGTGTCTTGAGACGTGCATTTTTTGTTTGGCTCGATAGTCGCAGTGAGGGCAAATGAACTGAGGCTCAACCCCACATTCCCACTTACGATGATTACGGAGACTACTTTTGAGCTTATAAGAGCGTCCACAGGTTTCGCAGTCATATTGTTTTGGCGTTTCCGGGTTCGGAGTTTCTTTTTCAATTGAATCGGCGAACCAATGAATCCCGACCCATGGCCAAGGTTGCATGGCAGCAGCATATGGCGCGACTGCAACATTAAACAGCATATAGGTATCGATTAAAGTTTCAAAATGGAACTGCTACCAACGAAAAAAATGTAACTTTATTTGTTTTTTTTTTTTTTTTTTTTTTTTTTTTTTTTTTTTTTTTTTTTTTTTTTTTTTTTTTTTTTTTTTTTTTTTTTTTTTTTTTTTTTTTTTTTTTTTTTTTTTTTTTTTTTTTTTTTTTTTTTTTTTTTTTTTTTTTTTTTTTTTTTTTTTTTTTTTTTTTTTTTTTTTTTTTTTTTTTTTTTTTTTTTTTTTTTTTTTTTTTTTTTTTTTTTTTTTTTTTTTTTTTTTTTTTTTTTTTTTTTTTTTTTTTTTTTTTTTTTTTTTTTTTTTTTTTTTTTTTTTTTTTTTTTTTTTTTTTTTTTTTTTTTTTTTTTTTTTTTTTTTTTTTTTTTTTTTTTTTTTTTTTTTTTTTTTTTTTTTTTTTTTTTTTTAGTAAAGCGAAAGCAATATTAGCTGTAACATAGAAAAGATACATGAAAATGAGACCACGTAAATTTACTTAAATAGTAGATTATAGATTCTCTTAATTTTTCAGCAAAGAGTATAGTTTGTGAAGTTTCTATTAATGAAAAAAGAAACAAAGCTAAATTAGTAACCCTTCTTGCCCTAAGAAATTATAATAATTATAATAAATGTACAATGAATTAAAAGGGTTTATGAAAATTTAAAAAAAAAAAAAGAAAAAATATCCTTTATTTGTTTGCTTACAAAAATTTGTATGACAATTAATAAAAATAAAAATGTTCAATGATTATATCGAAAATGTTTGTAACATAAGTCCGGATTTTTTGGATTTTGGTACACTTTTGGTGATGTAGAACTCTCGTAGTTATCCTTATAAAAATGAACCTTTCCGGATATTAATATATTACCTAAAAAAAAAATATGAATTAGTTGAAATTTTACTGGTATAATTTACCTTTTCAGAATCAGAATTCTACACCTATATAAACATTAATTTTCATCATTAAATGTTTCATTTTGAATTGTTTTAAATTGATAAGGAGTGAGTAAGGAAGTTTTAATGAAATAACGTAATGATTAATGTAGAAATTATTGTATTATCAAAATACCCGAATGTATAGAATAAAAGTTTACAAAATGTTTACACATGATCGGCGTTTACAATCATCTAATTTTAAATTGAATATAAAAATATACATTTTTTATTCTAGAAATTTACATATCATCTTATCCGATTCCATCACTTACAAATCGAATTACTTTAACTGTTTCTGTAATATCAACATTTAAGTAACATCATCATAAGGCACGTAAAAAATGTAAAAGTTATTATTACTTTTTTTATTCAAAAAACTTATTTTTAAATTTTAATAATCTCTTTCAGGACAATGGGCTCATTGAGAAAAGTATCAAAAGTTTTTCTTACATTATTTATCGATATAAGTATCAAAAATAGTTACATCAAGCATTTTTTTTAACGTAGAACAACAACCACGAGTCGTGATGTTACGTAAAAATCGTCTTTTAATCACATACCTGTATTGAATAAGTTACATAATAATAATTAAATAAAATTAAATACAATAATTAAATTTTTTTGATAACTTTTTCACATTTTTTCTTCATAATTATACAGTCTTGCCAGATTTGGATTTGGGCTGAAACGAGCTTTTTTTAAATACCTCTTTTTATAACACTTAGAAATGAAACAATTTTTTTGAAAATCTGCAAGAACATACTAAAATACTAATGTTATTTTATTAATAGGTACTGGACTATAACTGTTAACAATATTTAAGCAAAGAAAAAAAGTAATCCTTGCATAGCGTACTGGAAATATTAATAGTTTTTAGTCTTGTGTCGCCAAATACCAAATTTCTAGTCATAATACTTTTTTGTTTTCAATATCAAATAATTAATGGAAGGGTATAGAAGTTAAATTCCTTGTTAATTTATAGTTGCATCAAAATTGATGAAAAAGAACTATACATTATATAAGTTAGTAGATCACTGTCAAAGCTCTTGACTCTATAATCATATTATTACTTAGATACCAAAATGTTACGCTACAATAAATGCAACTTGCTTAGAAAAATATTGTAACACTTAAACATAGATTCTTAAGAGCAAACAAATTATAATTGATTTCGTCAACTGTACAAATTTATTAAATTTAAAATGTAATTAATTCTTAAGTTTAGTATTCAGGTATTTCAATCTTGGATGAAAATGCATGATAAGTATAGTAATCAATAATTTATGTGGCATTGTACACAATGCATACCGCAATTACTTATATGCACAGTGTTTACAGATTATTATACATAAAAATGATATCAAAAAAGAAACTATTGATAAGTGAAAAAGCGCCAAATTATTCATCTGTTAAACAAGATTGGTTGAAAATTCTTAGAATGAAAAAAACATTGCAATGAGAAAATATACAAAAGTACAAACAAAATTTTAAACAACTTTACGTGAGTTAAGTTTGCTTTTCTGAATCATCGTCTGGTAGGTTGTGACCAGACTTTTGATGGTGTCTTTTCATATGGACTGTTAAATTCCCTCTTTGTCTTGCTTTATAGTTGCAATCGGTGCACTGAAATGTTGGCTGTTTTCCACCACATTCGAGAACTTCATGTCGTTTCATAGTACTTTTCCATCTGTACCCTTTTCCACAGTGACTACATGAATAGTTCATACCATTGTTTCTTGATCCTTTTTGATTTGACTTACGAGAATTTTTGTTTTTTCGTCCTACTAATTTCACATTAGCTTTACATTCTATTACATTCTCTGAAAGATTTTCTGCATTTGCAGACATTCTTCTTACAGGCATACAATGTTTTGACATCAAACCTAATTGTGCAGCAAACACTAAACTGTCAACCGAGTTATCAGTGTAAAGTTCAACCTGATCAGTGTCAGGTTTTATTGTTGATGGTTCAATGCTATTGTTGTTTGGTAGAGAGCGTGGAATTCTAGAGATTTTGGCCTTATGATTTTTTCGTAGCAAAGAAACTCTCTTCAAATGATTTTTATTTTTTTTGCCTGCAATCAATAAATAAATTTCTAGTAAGCATTGAAAAATATAACTTTTCATTGAATATAAGTTATAAGGATGTATTATAAGGTTAGACTAAGATAGAAAGTAGTATTTGTTATGTGAAATTAGTTTATAATCATGTTATTATGGATGACGATTATTTTAATAAGAAGTTTTCAATGCACTTTGTCATTTTAATAAGTCAATTTGTGATGCTTCTCATTATTGAATTACAAAAAAACAAAAACATGTGAACTCTTCTGTTTCATGAAAAGACGAATGCAATTGAAGTAGGCTGCCATTAAAAATAACACCTTTAAATAATTAAAATTGAAGTTTGCGTTAGAATATGTTAGAAAGCCATAAAAATTATAATGAGAAATATATAAATTACATTAATTGAAAATTAGATGTTAGAGCAAGCTAATTTTGAAAAAGCAATTTGATTTTTTATTCAACTATACCATCACCACTTAACTAATTAAGAAAAATAAACAAAAATAAAAATCAATAATACGATATTTATGAATACAAAATGTACGCCATATACTTATTGATTAATCAAAGGCTAAAAATAATTAAGAGAAATGAAAAATTCAATTAATACAATTATATTATGAAATAAATTAAATGAAAAGAAACTTCAATTTAATGACATTTTTATTATCTTGAAACAACATTATATGAACACTAGCGTACGCTAATGCAGACAATTTTTTAAAAGCAGTTTTAAGAAAAGTTGTAGATGATAAATTATTTCTTCATTGAACCATAATTTTTTCCTTCATCAGAATAATTTAAAAAAATTTGTTGATACAATTTTTTCTGAAGTAGGATTTTAATTGGCAATATTCCCCTGTAAAAAAAATAAAGTCTTTTAAAATTAATGTCTTTTTCACAAAAAATGATTTGAAGTCAATCTGAAAAAATTCTCCATTTAGCTGCTTAAAATGAGTACAAATTAGTTTTTTGAAACAAACTTTTGTAGAAATGTACCTGAAAAAAGTTTTTCATTGATATGTGTCAAAATAATCCATTCAAATTCATCATGTATAATTCCTATATGCTTTATTGAAACGGATATTACTAAAAAATTTTTTTAAACAATTCTTTCAAAGCATTACAACATACTTTATAAGTCTTTCTCTTTCAAAAAAAAAAATATATATATATGTATAAGTATAATCTAAAAGAGTCTGATCTGTACAAAGAATCATATAGAATCCTTGTTTTGTAAGATGAATTATCATGAATGTATATAATGAACACCAGAGACTATAAAATACAAGAAGTCATTGAGTCTATAAAAATAGAGTTTAAATAATATTTTCAAGTCAATATTAGGTGTTGGCTTCAGAGATATAAGGACTATTTTAATGTTTTAATAATTTGGGATGTTAATCTGAGTAGCAGTGCAATAAGTTCTAAAAACAATATTTTTAAATCTATAACAAACCTGAATTTACCAAAATGACAACAACAAGTATTTCATCAACATTGAAAAAAACCTTAGTAAGGCATTCATTTTTAAATTAAGTTTAAGCATCTTTTATTTACAAACAAACTTGAACATTATAGGTACTTGAGCTATTACCTATGCAACTTGAGAGCATTCGTTTGGGTTAATTTTACTCTACTTTGAAAACTTTTTGATATTTGATAACCTGTAGCATCTAAGACTAATCATATAAAGTTCAGAGATTTTTTTTTGGCATCAAGAGATATCAAAAAATCAATAAAAAGCCTTCATACAATTGTTTTTGATAAATGCAGAGTTTCAAAATTCATGATCACCTCAGATCATTTATTTCTTGAAAATTTAGTACACTCATAGAAAAAATTGTATCACTTTTGACTAAAACTGTATCTAAGTTCAGTGATAACTTTATACATTTTCATTAATTATCATAAAAGGACGCAAAAAATGTTTTAAAAATAAGCATTGTTCTGATTCAAAAATTCTATACAAATTTCTAAATATTTAGGACATGAAAAATAATTTTTTTTATATTGGTAGTTCTCATAGAAAATGGACAACGTGACAGTAATTGGCAGCTTCTGAAGTGTATGCGTAAAGTGCGTTTTCATAGACTGCCATAACCCAAAACGGGAAAAGCTATTTTCAGGCCATTGAATAATAGTATAGGTTCTGAATAGTATAAGTTCAGAAAAAAAGCAACAATGCACGTGTTTAGTGGTTAATTAAACGTGTCCTGGACCATTTTTCGGGGTCAAGCGCAGTAACATACTACGGCATACGCGTAGACAATTGCATTATGGGTGGTTTACAGTTTCATGCATGCAAACACGTTTTCCGTGTGTACAATCGATGAACGGGGAAATTTTTGGACAAGTAATTTTTTCAGGTTTGAAACTTCAATCTATTCAGGCTAAATGTTAAAGCTCGTCTTCATAAATTCGGTAAGTAATCAAAACGACCTGTTAAGTTAACAATTTTTGAAGCTTATTTCGTTAATTATATAGCTTTTTTTATTCCCTTAAGTTAAAGTAATAAAAGGATAGAACAATAATTCTAAAGCTGAAAAATGGACACATCGTATGCGATGTGCTTTTGACGTAGTGTATAAAAGCTTACACGAAAGTAATTCGAACATATAAACAAATGTTTGTCTACGTGCGATCGTTCATTATTTGCAGTTCTTTCAATAAATCGAGTGATTTGCATTTTTATTCAAATTTAGACTAGATTTTCAACGGAGTATGTATTTAAGGAAAAATTAGGAGATGAATTCATCGATATTTTGTTGTTTCGTGTACAAAAATGAATAATTTCGCCCACGAATTCTCTCCCAAGTAACCAAACCCAATTTTTAAATGAAAAAAGTGCATACCTCGTAGTTGAAAGACTGATAAAATTTGTCATGAGTTCTTACTTGTTTATTCCAATCGCGGACACAAATCGATGTCAAAAAGAGACTGCGTCAATCAACAGGTCACCGAAGAAACAGCTCCTCACCACCCCATATATAACGTACGGCCACATGCATGGATTGGTACCACGTTGCGCTCAAGCTTTTCTCTGGGTCTGTGGATTTCACTCTCACAAAAGGACGTGAAAACGTAGCACTGATTTTAAACGTTACGTAAGGTGACACGTTTTTCTCAATACACTTTCGCTCAAAGAAAGTCCAAGCCGGTCTAGTCCAAAAGCTGTTCCGGATTTCGTAAAAATTTTGAGCTCCACAATTTTTCTCGAAGTCGGTTGAGGGTAATCTTTACAAAAGCAGGATTAGATTTTCAAGTTGTATTTTAAAAAATGTCATGTTTTCAATATAAAAAAAGATTTTTATTGCAATTTAAGTAGGTTTTTAAATTCATTCAACGATTCTAATCAAAAAGTCACATGCATGTGATGTGATGCATATTTAAGGACTTCATCAAATAACCGAACAATATCAATGTTTGCTACTATTCAACTAACAAAAAGCTGTCCATCACTCTTTTTTTAATCAATTGACTTAAAATTTTAATAATTCAATCGTTGGGTTTTTTACGAAGATTAAATGATATCGAATTAGTTTCATGTTTTTCAATTTTCAATAGCTTAGGAGCTATGGCCGTATAGACAATCGATTTGCTTACGAGAGCGTCCATTCCACGAGGGTAGGGTACGCGAAACGCCCTGCTACGTATCGCAAGATAATAATATTACATTATTTTGAATAATGAATTATACGTATTCGGCTACGTTACGACTATCGAATAGACACTCTCTATGTTTATAACTTTTGAAACCGGCAACATTTCTGAAAATCATCCTGGGAAAGCCGATTCAACGTAAGACAATACGTCCAGAAACGTTGAGGAAACCTGTAGAGCTCGAAACTTTTGCGAAACCTCTACCAGTGTTGGGACAAGTCGCGTTAAGCTATATCTATATATACGTGTTAAAGCTACACATATAGTTAGCACAAGCACAAAGCGGTGCGATCGAGCAACCACTTAACCCGTACAGCTACCTACTGATATTCGCACACTACACACTTCCCACCGAAAGCCGATAGGTTATATTTATAAAAAGGGGCTTCCTAACCTCCTCTTTCTGACACATTGACATCTAGTTGATAGTTCGGAAGTGTGCGAAGCCGAAGGGTATGTATATCTTCAACGTGCCGGAAAGCACCTTTGGGTTACCGAGAGCGGCACCTGACACCTGTTGCGCGTCTCGCAGTCGCTGGGCAGTCTCTTTCGGCAAAAAGTTCTTATCGCACCGCGAGCGACTCCGAATATCCAAGAGGCATCGCACTCGAGATCCCATGCGCTCCGTTCACCTCGTGTCGAGAAATCATTTTCCATTCACGAGTGCGCCGACACGAAAAGCCACGTTAGCAACGCGTGTTCACGGCACCGCCAACCGGAAGTCACTCACACAGGCACGTGTCGGAGAAAACTAGAAATTTTTCCACTTCCAAGAAGTATTCACAGTTGAACTAGATGTACATCACGGAGACACACGCGCACACGCACCAACACACACTGCCCCTGGCAACGCAGTGTTGTTACTCTAGTTTTGACGCACACACACGGCTCCACGCACGAGCACGGCTCGCCAGCAACTGGAAAATTCTGGGCCTCGCATCGCTCTCAATAGACGGCGCGCCCTGTAAGTGTGTGCATGTATTAGAGAGGGAGAGCGAGAGAGACAGACGGAGCGAGAGAGAGAAAGCGGGAGACGGAGCAAGTGTGAGTTTTCTTGAACGAAAGCACACTACGCGACGTAATACAAGTAAAGTATAGCGCTTACGCGTTTGAAACGCTGAAGCAGTTGGCCGAAGCGAGTGTATAGGAGATAACAGAGTCGGAGTCAGCAGCAGCAACAGCGGCAGGCTGCGTTACGTGCACCACTTTGGAAATGCGCGAGATACATGATACGGCCTACAAATGAAACGAAGAAGAAGAAAAAAGAGTGAAGAGAGGACGGCGGTGGCGCAGGCCCACGCAAACAAAGCAGCTTAGGCATTAAAAGCTACGCCCGGTCCACTCTTATAACATATAACTCGCACAATACTCTTAACTGTCTCTCCTCTCTCTCTCTCTCTCTCTCTCTCGCTTTTATTCGGGCAGACTTATAATCGTGTGCACGCACACTTTTCACGATGGTGTGGTGGCCTTTCTTTCTCTCTCTTTCTCTCTCGTTCGCGCGGGCTCTCTTTTTTTTTGCTCTCCTAGCTATAAAAATTCCCCTTCCCCGAGCGCGTGTGTGTGTATAACTACCGATAGCCGACTCTTGGAGTGCGTCGATGTGTGTCAAAGCACACGGACGCACCACTAACACACGCGCGAATGTTCCTCTCTCGTGTGTTGTATATACAGCCGAAAAAGCCTGCCGGCCTTACCCATTTTTTGCACATACGTGTACTATACCATACGCACACACGCACACTTGCTTTCGCGCGTTTATAAGTATCAAATGTAAGTACAGCATATCTGCGAGCACATTTCAGGCACTACATAGTCGTAACGGTTTTTCGGGTACCGAGAGCGCGTGTATGTACGCGATATGTGTACGTACAATGATTTTTTTTCCTTTATGCCTTTTTTTTTCTTCGTTCTGCACACGAGAGACAAGGAAAAGTGTTCTCGTATATATTGTGCTTGCTTCGCTATATAAATGCCAGATGAGAAGGGGAGCTCTTTCTGCTGTGCTCTCGCTTTCGAGCTTCGATACTATCCTCAAGGCTAAATATCGCACTGCGCGACGACGAGGCCTTAAATATTGCGCATGCGGCAGAGGAGAGGAAAGATGCTTGGGAAATGACGAATATTTTTCGGGTCTCTGTGTGATCGCCGGTTGCGATCGTGGAAGCCTCTATAAAATAGCGAAGGGGGCGGAGCATGATCGAGAGAAAGGTATAGACCAAGTTTTCACGAGGGGGAATTGACCCGTGGAATATACGGGCGCCTTCCTTTCTTTTTTCTTCCTTTCCATCTTTTTTCTTTCACGCTGGCTGCGTAACATATGGCTTTTCGTATCGTGGGCTTCTTTTTTCTTCGGCTCGAGATCTCTTCGGCGTTGCCTAGCTCTTTTCGTCTCCGGCATTTTACACGCGCAGCAGCAGCAGCCGCAGCAACGGCCCCCGAAAAAGCGGAACACAAAGAGCCGAAACTAGTTTTTTTCTTTCCTCTGCCGCTGCTCGCTCACTTGATCGATTTTTCGCAATCGCGCGCGGCCGTCCACGAAACACACCACAGGTGCGCCGAAAACTCGTGAGACAATACACACACACACACACACACACACACATACGTAAATAAATATATATTATATATTTCAATGCGTGAAGTCTAGAAAAATGTATGAGACGCTGATTTGATTTCACATTCAAAAGTGTTTTTATTTCAATTTTGCTGAGCTTAATTTTCGTATATCATATGTACATGGAAATAATCTTGAATTCGGGCGCGATTAACAATATTGTTATATAATTGTGTATGAGCGTTTACCGTTTTCACGTCGCGCCATGTGTTACAGCGCTTACACGCACAGAAAAGCCGACAAACTTTTTCTCTTTTCGAGTCTTTTCATCGGTATTTAAACCTTTGTACAAACGATTTTTCTCTTATATGCAGAGAAACGTGTTATAGCTGTATTTTTTCGATTTTGAAAACGAACGGAAAAAGAAAAAAAAACGCGATGAAACTTTTTTATCTTAGCCTCGCGTCTAATACCTTATCTCAATTTTACGAATTCCTATATAGATTTCAGAGCAGCTTTGACAAAAAATTTTCCAAAGAGGAGAAAAAGAACGAAGAACGAGGCCGCGCGCGGCTCGGTTCGCTCACCGATCAAAAAAAACTTTATTATCTAAAATGCGAACGAAATCTCTGTAACATGACGACGAGATAAAAAAAAACACGCTCCCGCTCTCGTTTTTCGTATTTCTCTCTCTCTCTCTCTCTCTCTCTCGCTCACTTCTTTTTACGTGTGCGTCGTCAATCAGGGCTGATCTTTGGCCACTCCGTCGATGTAAATTTTGAATCTGCCCCTCGCCTCGACCGCGTGCAACTTCCTCACGTGCTTGAGCAAATTGTCCTTGAGCTTGCAGCGCTGTGGACAGTAGTAGCAGGCGAATCGCGGCGGCATTCCGCACTCGAACTTGATGTGGCGGCGCAGATGCTGGATGCGCACGTACGACTTGTTGCAGCGGCTGCACGTGTTGTTGGCTAGCTGCTCGGCGGCGGTCGGCTGCGTCGTTGTTGACGACGACTCCTCCTCCTCCTCGTTGTCGAGGCCGAGCGGCACGAAGATCGTCTCGAATTCCGGCGCCGTTGCTACTACTGCGCGGGGCAACAGACGACAGAAAAAAAAGAAAAAAAATTCTGATAAATAAATGAACGATTGCGACAAGTCATTGTTGAGGATCGCGCTATAATCGTGTGAATATAATTAAAAATTAATCAAAAGAGCGAGGAAAAACAAAAAGCGAAAAAATTTAATGAGATCAGCTGCTTGAGATGTGCATGGGGTGCGTTAGAGGACGGTGGTGGCATGGTCAGCGAATAAAACGAATCCTTCCGTTAAATCCTAAATAATTTATTTTTTATTCGATAAAAAAAAATTAGAGACGTTTTCACAGCATCTTAATGACGTCGGGCGTCTTCAGATCGATGTATCCGACCTGGAATTTGGGATGCTTGACGCGCACGTGACGGTAAACGTTGCAGGTCCTCTTGCTGGCGAACGGACAGTAGGGACAGCGATAGTTGGGCTTGGAGAAGCAGTCGTAGCGGCAGTGAATCTTGAAGCTGCGCCGCTGGGCGTAGCACTTCTTGCAATTCGGGCAAGTGTAAAGCTGGGCCGGTTTGCGGGGCTTGTACGGTCTAGCAATGATCACTGCTGGAACATGGCAAAAAAAGACGGAAAAATTATTAAAATTAACCGAGTAATTCGCTGTGTTTGTTTTTCTTTTCTAGAGGGATACAGACGAGTAATAAAAAAAAAGAGAACGAGAACAAAACCAAAAATTACACATTTAGGTTAATAGTAGCTCTGAGATACGCAAAAAGTATATGATATTAGAGAATTAATAACGAGGTTGAGAAAGAAAAAAAATGGCATGGTATAGAACATGAAGAATAGATAAAAAACAAATCGATAAGGAAAAATTACGGACTCGCGGTATCTTCGATAAGCAGCAGCAGCAGCAACAAAGCTGCTTTTTTCGCGCAGTCCGCGTTCGGTCCGCTCAAATTCGCACACGCTCGTTTCATACATTGTAAAAGAGATCGCGTATATATTGGAAAGAAAAAAACATACGTATCGAGCGAAGCGCTCGTGAAATTTTTACTTTTTCTCGCGCGTTATACATTTTCAAGAAGAGAAAAGTATAAGGCAGTCAGATCGCGGCGCGCGATGTACAAATCATCGCTGTTGAGCAGCACATTTTGTTTACTCAATTCGACGCTGCTGCTGTCGCTGGTCAATGACACCGAGCGCGAGATCCTCGCGGGTGTTTCCCAACAGCTCGCAGCGACTCCGAGTTTTCATCGCATCGAGCTGATCTACGACGCAACGACGCGCTCGCGAATGTCGAACGGCGGCGGCGGCGAAATACCGCTACTCGTAGAAAAATTGCTAGCGAGCGAGCGGCCAGTGATCGTAATCAATTACGCCGAGCTACGAAATCATAATAACGGCGTGGCGGCGGCGGCGGCGCTGCCGATCAACGACGAAAGCGGCAGGGATAATGTCGCTCGAATTAATCTGCTCGTGCTGCTGCTCATTGGAATGGAAGACGACGCAGCTCGGCAGCTCGACGTATCTAAGCGCGTCTTGGACCGTTACGCGGATTTGGCCATCAACGCCACGAGGCCGCGAGTCGCCGTCGTGGGCCGGCGTCTGGACGGCCGAGCCGCGGAAAGCCTTCTGCTTCACGCCTGGCGGAGAAAATACCTGGACGTAACGCTCGTCGACAGTCTGGAGGGCCGAGTGAGCTATTACGTGCCTTTTATCGAGCGATTCGTCGCGTTCGATTACAGAGGTGGCGATGTGGAGCTGTTTCCGGACAAGTTCCGCCACGTCGCCAACTACACCATGAACGTCCTCTACACGGCCAGCAACGATCAGCGCGTCGAGGCCTATCGTCCGCTCGACTTCAGCCTCGAGCGATTCCTGCAGCCGGCGACCCGGATGCGCTTCGTGGCGCGCCAGGTGGCGAACTTTGGCGAGGCGCTGCAGCTGCTCCAGCGCCATCCCCGGGAGGAGAACACGTTTTTCCCGTATCTGGTGCAGATAGCGATGGCGGCCCCGGGCACCGGCCTGATGTTCGGCCGAGTGGCGCACAACGAGTGGCTGACCGTCGTGGCGAAGCGGCGCAAGCGGCCCAAGCTCGGCATCCTGAAGATCGGCAGCTTTTGGAGCTACGGCTCGCTGCTGGTGCTGGTGTTCGTCGCGCTGCGTCTGGCCGAGTTTCTGATGCTGGGCAGAGGACTGCACCGCTGGATCGACTTTTTCGCCGTGGTGATCGGCCAGGCCAGCTCGGAGACCCAAGTCAGCCGGCGGCCCACCAAGAAATCCCTCATGATACT